ACGGTCGAGGGAGCAGCTGACCTGGTCATGAGACCCCGCCGGCGCTCCAGCAAACGCCCGCGCAGCCGACGCGCAGGAAGACAGGGACCTCGATACCACGAAGTAGTCGTAGTCGTTGTCACCGCAAGTCGGGGCTCCACTGCTGATGAGGAGGCCATCGATCTCGTCGAGCCAGCCGCTGGAGGCGAGGTCGTCCGCGTCGATGTTCCAGTCCCCTGCCAGGAGGAATGGGGCGTGGTGCTGCCCCACAAGCGCAGCGACCTCCGCCAGGAGCGTGATGTTGTCGCCCGTCAGCCCGATCGACGTGATCAGGTACACCGAGAGGCACAGGAAGACCGAGCCCTCGCCGAGGTGGATCTTCCTCGCCACGATGCGGTGCGCCCACTCCGAGGGAACGTCGATGCCCGCGTACGCGCCGACGTGGGCCGCGAAGCACAAGCCGACGCCCCCGCTGACCGCCAGGCGCTCCGTCCCGACCCGAAGCGGCGGACCCAGGGCCAGATGGCAGCCTTGGCCAAGGCACCACTGCCGAGCCGCCCCGGCTGCCTCGTCGTCGGGGAACCTGGTCTCCTGGATGAAGACGACGTCGAACTGTCGCTTGGCCGCGGCGTTCCACTCGAGCACCCTCCGAGCGCCGCTCCACGTGTCCCCGTTAATGGTGAGTAGCGTCAGCGAGTCGCTTCGCACCGCCGGCGGCTGGGGGAGGAGCTGCGCCAGCTCCAGCGGCGCCGCGCGCGGAGCTCCGCGAGCAGCGCCATGACCACCACTCGCTGGTCCTTCCCCTGCGACTGCCCTGGCGGGCGCCTCAGTACGCCCAGGCCCAGGCCCAGCGCCCGGCAGGGCGCCAGCGCTCGGTGACCTTAGGGGCCCCTCGGCAGCGCCGAGAAGGTCGCCGGCCGCGGCGCCGTCTCCAGGGGCGCCCGCACAGGGCTCGGCGGGGCGCCCGACAGCCGCGGGCTTGGCGGCCGCGGCAGCGCCGGCGGCGGCGTCGGCGGCGCCCCCGGCGGGCTCGCGTGGCGCTGGCAGCGCCCTCGGCGGGCTGACAAAGGCAGCGCGGCGCCTCGCGCGGCGGGCCATGCGTGCCTCATGCGCTTCCCCATCGGCAAGCACGACGCACGCGTCCTCATCGTCGCTGATCTCGATGGGAATCATCTGGTAGCCAGGAGGTCCCGCCTCCGGACCAGAATCCTGCCGCCGCGGAGGCCGACGGCCCAAGGACGGCGTCGGAGGGTCCGCCGTCAGCAACTGCCTCGGCCGCCCGAGGCTGCATAGGCTGCCGGCCAGGGCCGGCCGCGGCGGCGAGACCTGGAACGTCCAGCTCGGCCTCCGACCTGCCAGCCACACAGCCGACAACCAGGAAGTAGTGCATGACAGGCGGGGCGGCGGCCTGGGCCTGGGCCGTCGCCTCGCCTCTGCCCCCGTGGGGGCCAGTCGCCGCCGAGGCTACAGAGGTGACAGTCATCATCGAAATAAGGGCGATCAGCATTCGCAGCAGGCCTCGGCAGGCTGGCCACGCGGAACATGTGCCTGGCCGTCTCACGCAGCTCCTCGTCCTCCAATGGGATGCTGGCCGCTGGCACCACCGTGGCCATGAGCGTGCGCAACTCGGCGTTGGACAAGCTCTCGATCGTGTCCTGCACCCGCGGCAAGTCTGGCAGGCCCGCTGGGGCTGCCGCTGGCTCCGCTGGCTGTCGCGGCGGCTCGGCAGAAGCAGCGGCACCAGCAGCGGGAGCCTCAGCAGCCGCCTGGGGCGGGGCCGCGACAGCCAGGCCCGCCTCCGCGCCCACGGGGACCAGCGTGGCGTTGGACACGATGTTGGGCAGGTCCTGAATGATGGCCTGGGCGACCGTGCTGGCTTGGTCTCCAAGTCCGCAGCGCTGGAGGACCTCGCCGAGCTTCGACGCGTCGAGGCCGACCGCCGCCATGGGCAGAGAGGCCTGTTCGCCAGCTGCTTGCTGGGCCAACTGACTCCTCTGCTTCGCGAGGTCCTTGATGTTCTGCTCTTGCTGCCGGATGGCGGTCTCAGCCTCCCCGATCTTCCTGAGGAGGGCCGCCAGTCCTTCTCGCTCCTTCCCAAGGCTCTCCTTGGCCTTAAGAAGCTGCGTCTCCGCCGCTTCGAGGCGAGCCGTAACCGTGCGCACTCTGGCGTGGATCGGCTTGGACTCCAGCAGCTTGACGCGGAGGCGCTCGCGCTCCTCCTCGAGCTCCTGCTTTCACGCCACCCATGCAGGCCCGCAGTGCTTGGACACGGCGACGAGCTCCTTGTCCAGCTCCTGGAGGCGCTGCCGCGCGAGGTCATCCGAGGGCTCCCCGGACATCTCGACGTCCACGAACTCAGGCGCCGCAGCACCCGGGCGCCCTGGCGGAGGGGCCTGGGCAGCTTCCAGGCGCTCGACTTTCTTGCGAAGCATCTCAAGCTCCTGGACCTCCTTGCTCCAAGGATTGAGAGTGGACGTGCCGCCGCGCGGAGGCACGTGCACGGACGGCGCGCTCGGGGCGACCTCGGCCTTGAAGCAGATGCCTTTGGCCCGCCCGCACATCCCGCAGCTCGCCGCCGTCGCGACGTTCCACCAGTCATGGCCAGTGGTCTTATGCTTGCAGAAGCGGCACAGCCACTTGGCCCCGCGCTCGGCGCGCTCGCCACGACGGCGCGAGGGCGCCATGCCGTTGGCGGCCTCGCCGTGGTGGGCTGCGAGCAGGCGCCGCGCCGCGTCCAGGCGAAGGAGGCTCCGCGCCTCGCTCCGCCTCCGCCGCGCGCGCCTATGCCAGGCGGGGGAGCTGGCCCGCTCCCGAGGTGCAGTCGTTGGACCAGGGCCCTGGGCAGGGCGCCTGGCTGGGGTCAAATGGGATGCCGCGCGCGCGGGCGCACGGAGCCCAAATGGCAACCTGAGGAGGAGGAGGAGGAGGAGGAGGAGGAGGAGGAGGAGGAGGAGGAGGAGGAGGAGGAGAGGAGGAGGAGGAGGAGGCGGAGGCATCAGGAGGTGGAGCAGGAGCAGGAGCAGGCGGAGGAGGAGGAGGAGGAGGAGGAGGAGGAGGAGGAGGAGGGGAGGAGGAGGAGGAATGAGGAGGAGGAGGAGGAGGAGGGAAGAGGGAGAGGAAGGAGGGCAGGCGGAGGCGGAGGCGGGAGGCGGAGGGAGGAGGAGGAGGGGGGAGGAGGGAGGCGGAGGAGGAGGAGGAGGAGGAGGAAGGTGGAGGAGGCGGAGGAGGAGGAAGAGTGCGGAGGAGGAGGAAGGAGGCGGAGGCGGAGGGAGGAGGAGGAGGAGGAGGAGGAGGGAAGGAGGAGGCGGAGGAGGTGGAGGTGGAGAAGGTGAAGGAGGAGGGAGGGGGGGGGAGAAGGAGGAGGAGGCGGAGGAGGAGGAGGAAGGGGAGGCGGAGGCGGAGGCGGAGGCGGCGGAGGAGGAGGAGGAGGACGAGGACGAGGAAAAGGAAGAGAAAGCATAAGCAGAAACATAAGCAGAAGCATAAGCAGAAGCATAAGCAGAAGCATCAGCATAAGCATATTCAGAAGCAGAAGCATCAGCATAATCATAATCATAAGCATAAGCAGACGCAGAAGCAGACGCAGACGACGAATAAGACGAATACTATGACGAAGGCGAAGACGGATACTACTAACAAGACAACTAGTAATAATAATACTACTAACCAAACGAAACATTATAATACGAATACGAAGAAAACACTAAGAAAACGAACACTAATCATACGAATGAAAATAACAAGAATAATATCAGTACTAATAGCACTAACACGAACACGAAGAAAACACATATGACTACTACTAATAAGAATAATTAGACCAATACTACGACGAATAATACGACGAATGCGAATACTAATACTTATAATAATATGAAGAAGCCGACGAATAATACTATTACGAAGAAGACGACACAGACGACTAAGCATAGCATGCAGACGAATGCTACTAAGACGACTAATAAGAATAACACTGATAATAGTACTAAGAATACTAATAATAATAACACTAATAATAATGATAAGGATACGAATAAGACGAACACTAAGAGTAATAGTAATAATAAGAAGATTATTAATGATGCGACGAGTAAGAAGACGAGTCACACGAATAATACTACTAATGATAATACGAATAATAAGAATAATACTGCGACCATGAATAATACTAATACTACTTAGAAGAAAAATATTGATAATAATAGTAATAATGCGAATAATAAGAAAACGAAGAAGAAGACGACGAACACTAACAATAATACTAGTAATATCAGTAAGAAGAATGATACGAGGAGGAGGAGGAGGGAGGTGGAGGAGGATGAGGAGGAGGAGAAGGCGGATGAGGATGAGGAGGAGGATGCGGAGGCGGAGGCGGAGGAGAAGGAGGAGGAGGAGGAGGTGGAGAAGGTGAAGGAGGAGAGAGGAGGATGAGGATGAGGATGAGGATGGGTAAGAGGTGAGGATGATGATGATGATTGATGTGGATGATGATGAAGATGATGATGATGATGATGATGATGATGATGATGATGATGTGATGATTATAGATGATGTTGTAAATGAGTGAGGAGGAGGAGGAGGAGGAGGAGGAGGAGGAGGAGGGGAGGGGGAGGAGGATGAGGAGGTGGAGGGGGAAGGGGAAGAGGCGGTGGAGGAAGAGGAAGGAGGAGGAGGTGGAGTTAGGTGGAGGAGGTTAGGAGGATGAGGGAAAGAGGAGGAGGAGGAAGAGGAGGAGGGGGTGAAAGGAATGGGGGACCACAGGAGGAGGAGGGTGAGGAGGAGGCGGAGGCGGAGGCGGAGGAGGAGGAGGAGGTGGAGGAGGAAGCGGAGGAGGAGGAGGCATACTAATAATAATCATAATACTAAGAAGCAGAAGACACATGCGAGCAAAACTAATAATACGAGTACGAAATTTATAATTACAATACTACGACTATAAAGAACACTATGACAACGAGTAGTAGTACACGGAATAGTAAGAATAGTGTGCTACTAATACGAAGACTAGTGATACTAATACAAATGATATCGAGAGGACAATGAGAAGAACAGTACTACTACTAAGAAGAGCAATACGAATGAACAAACTACTAGTAGGAAGACGACTAATACTAATACTCAGAATAAGAAGAAGAAGGCCACTACTAACACTACTATTAACATGAATAATAAGAAGAATGATATTACTAATACCACTCGTACGAGCATTAAGGATACTATTACGAGTGGTAATAAGAATACTAATGATATCAGGAATACGAGGAATAACGGTACTACGAACCATGTGAATACTAACAACAAGAAATTAATAGTAATAGTATGAAGAAAGAGAGGATTCACAATCTTATTCATCATACGAATAAGCAAAGTACTAACAATAGTAATCATAGTATTAGCAATAAGAGTCATACTGTTACTATCAGTAATAAGAAGAAGAGGAGAAGGAGGAGGGGGAGGAGGAGGAGGAAGAGGAGGAGGAGGAGGAGAGGGAGGAGGTGATGGAGGAGAGGAGGGAGGGGAGGGATGGGAGGGAGGAGGGAGGGAGGGAGGGAGGGAGCGAGGGAGCGAGGGAGCGAGGGAGCGAGGGAGCGAGGGAGCGAGGGAGCGAGTGAGGGAGGGAGGGAGGGAGGAGGAGGAGGAGGAGGAGGAGGAGGAGGAGGAGGAGGAAGCGAGCCTCTTGGGGGCTTGCTGGCGATCTCAGGGGTCATCTCGGGGCGGAGGGCTCGAACTGTCGGTTCGTGTTCTCCTTCTGTGCTCCCTCTTAGGCCCGTTTTGGGGCCCTCTTGGGCCGTCTTCGGGGCGTCTTGGGCCTTCTTGGAGCTTTCTGGGATCGTCTGGGGACCGTCTTGGGGGCCTCTTCGGCCATCTTGAGGCGATCTTGGGGTTCTCTTGGGTAGTCTTGGAGCGCCAGGTGCCCGAAAAGGCGGTAACGCTATGATCATACAAAAACCGAGGGACAAACGATTTCGGCATCTTGGGGCCGTCTTAGGGATGGGTCTCTCGCGAGGCTCTCCTGGGGGCCTCTTGGGGGCCCTGGGCTGTCTCGAGGCCGCCCTGGGCATCTTGGAGCGCTGCCGGGCCGACGCGGGGGGGCCCCACGGGACCAGAACGTGCGAGAACACGCAGTAAGCCCCGGAAGAGCCGCGGCGCGCCCCCCAGAAGTGCGGCAATTTTTGGGTCTCTGGCCCCTACTTCTCAGTCGTTCAGGACAGAGGATCACCACCCACCAAACCACCCCAACCCAACTCGAAGGCCTCAATCTGCCCTCCATTTCCAGTGGGGGGGGGGGTCGGGGAACATCGAAACAACGCGCATGGAACCCATACCCCCCCCAACCCGAAGTCCGGGTCTTCGGGTTGGGTTGGGGTGGTCTGGTAGGCAGTCAGAGGACGGAGAACTCCAGGGGACCTGCACACACTTCAACTCGTGCCTCAGGCCACGGTGGCGGACAAACGGGTTATGAAAATCTCAGGCGCAACGCCCAGACCGTCCTGCTGGCACGCGCTGTGGTGCGACGAAGAGGAGGTGTTAGTAGGGACAAGGGATGCAGGGGGATGTGTGTTTTGTAGGAGGAGGAGGCGGAGGAGGAGACGGAGGAGGAGGAGGACGAGGATGAGGAGGAGGAATGCGAGGGAGCAGGCGCGGGAGAGCGTGCTGGAGCAGAAGCTTGATCTTGTTAGCCTGGTCTTTCTCTTCCTTGCAGGAGCTGGTGATTTGCCAGATCCTCGAAAGCGTGATGGAGCAGAAGCCTGGCGTCGCCGACAATTACGTCTACCTCGACCCAAAGGACCCGCCCCCTGTGGGAAGTATGCACGTTTGTCCGTTTTGTTCCCGACCATCCTGTGGTGTTGGGCCTTCGTTTTGCAGAGACAGCGCCCCGCGTCCACTCCCGCTGCCCCCTCCTCCCTCTTCCCATCCGTGCCTCTGCCCTCCGCATGCCCATTTCGGCGCACCCCTCACGCGCTTCGTGGCCCCATACGGAGCTCCGTCGAAGGCCCAATTGCAAAGTCCGTCTGGCCGCACCGCCCCATTTCCGCACACCCGTCACACGATTCGCGGCCCCATGAGTTGCACCGTCGCACCCCACACGTTTCGTGACCCCATTGGGAGCTCCGTCGAAGGCCCCAGTGGCAAAGTCCGCATTGCAGTGCAGCACCGCGCCGTTTCGGCGCGTCCCTCACGCGTTTCGTGGCCCCACATGCAGCTCCTTCGAAGATTGCAGTGGCAAAGTCCGCATGGCGGCACCGCCCCGTTTCGGTGCACTCCTCGCGCGGTTTGTGGCCCTATGGAGTTATGTCGAAGGCCCCAGAAGTACAGTCCGCATGATGGCACAGCGCCATTTCGGCGCACCCATCACAAGTTCTGCGGCTCCACTGGAAGCTCCACCGAGGGCCCCAGTGGCAAAATCCGCGCGCCGGCATCGACCCGTTTCGGCGCACCCTTCGCGTGTTTCGTGGCTTCATGGGGGGCTCCACCAAAGGCCCCAGCGGCAAAGTCCGCAGTGATGGCCCCTTCCCCATTTCGGCACACCCCTCGCGCGTTGCGCACGCCTCGCGCGACTCGCTCCCAACCTTCGGCTGCGGATGGTTTGGGGCTCCAGGGGCCTTTGGAGACATTCGTGGTCCCTCGGGACTTGGTGGCCTGCGCGGGCCTCTGGAGGTCTCCAGGGGGACCTCGCCCTTTGCCTCCTCCTCCTCCGCCTCCTCTTCCTCCTCCTCTTCGTCTTCCTCCTCCTCCTTCTCCTCAAACTTGGGGGCTCAGAACTAGTATACGGTCAATGC